CGGGAAATTCCTCGTGCCGTCTAGCTCAAAGCAAGCAGACCGCACGTGCACATCGATTCTAAAGTGACTCTGTCACTGTCGGGCTTTCTAAGCACGGGTTGGGCGGGCGCATAAGCATCTCATGTTCAGGGGATTGAGGTGCTACGTAGTCAGCCCAAGTTTAGCAGGGGTCTTTGTCTAGAGTGGATCTTTGCCCTTAGCACAAGATCTTCTGAGGTCTGTTAGCCACTACCATGCCCCGTTGTGCATTATTCTGCATCGTTGTCATGGCCTCGCGTGTCGGGACACCTTGATTTCAATCGTTGAACTCGTAACTACGTCGGTGACACTGTGTAGAGTCAGTTGACACCATGCCACCCATGCTGTGATTCCTGAAATGTCAGTGCAATATGTGGCTGGCCAGGATTCATGTACAACCAGTGCCGCAAATATCGGAAAGAGTATTCTGTCAGAAGTATGTATGCGTCTTATCAAACCCGGTAAAGTGTCCTCGCCCGTGCTATCCCCTGAAATCACTGATTGCCGCAAGCGACGTCCGGCCAACATGCTGGTGCGGCACCAAGAGCAAGGGAAGGCGCTTTTGAGTTTGATTGTGGGTTTTGTCGAGGGTGGATGTTTCGTGGCTTTTTCATCGGTTGGAATTGTGATCATGGTGATGAGGGCCGGCCATGATACCCGTGCCAGTGATGATGGTGAACACAATGACGATGATGATGGTGCTGACGGACAATGTTGGCGATGTTCATGAACACGATGATCGTGATGTTACGTTTTGTCTGTGTGCTAGTAATCGTGACGATGAGGCATGTTTCACTTTGTTTATACAGTCATTGGGATCACTTGGCTTATCAATAAGTTGACAGTTGCACTCGTACCGTTGATAGTTCTGTCAGAGTTTCTTCTCCCTGACATCGGTCTCGTCCTTCTCAGATCTGTATATATAGTGTAGTATACCTGCCATGCACTAATATCAAACCTCACTACCCAGGAGTTCTGAGAGTTTCTATTGATCCTAATAAGGCACCATGGCAGCCATGGCAAAAGCGGGCTGCAAGAGGCGCCACCTTCTGAAGCTGTGTTCCGTGCCTTCACACTTTGCAGATGCATTTCGGTTTGGTGCCGGTTACTGCTGCACATCAGGTGCCCTTTCGACGATAATTCCGTGAGGAGCCAATTATGAACCCTGACCCCCCAAAAAACACACAAGGGAAGGTCGCGGGTTGAAGCTTTCCTACACGGATGCACCAACGCATGCCAACAATCAGGTACAGCTGTGTAGCAGTACGGCAGTACCTCGGTGTAACAAATATTCTCTGACAGAAGCGCACATTCCTGTGTTCAAATCGAGGCGAATTTGCCTTTGTGTGTCTCTGCACACTAGCTGCTAGCTGGCAGGCTGGCCCAGGCAGCCAGGCAGACAGGTTGGAGCCCGCAGCCAAGAATAAACAGAAAATTCATGGAGGCTCGCCCTTGCGGCTGGCAGCTTTGGCGCTGGTAGCGAGCGGCTTAGATGGGAACTGTGATCCTCCGCGCACAAGGTCTTGCGTAGCGAAAACTGGGTCCACGGTGTGCTTCGGGACTCATGGGGTCAAGGTTCAGTTTCAGCCCGGTACTGGGTTGAAGCTTGAAGCCATGGGGCAAGCAGCACACTGGTTGCTGTCATTCCCCCTCCGTGGCGGGTTTCAGAGCAGGGTCCTGCTGTAAGAGTTCGTTCCGGGACATCGGCGCATACCTGGCCCTACACCAACACCAGAACCAGCCACAAGCGCCATGTGGTCTCGTTTCCCTGCTAGGCAGACTGCTCCGGCAGGGGGGGGGGGGGGGGGGGTAAAACGTCGGATACAAGCTTGGCAAGCAAACGTATCTCTTCGCTATTGCCCGGCACTTGCAAATCGATGGTTATCGATGAGATCGCGATGGCTGTAAGGGGGAGCGGGTGATCAGTCGTCAGTATAACTGCAAGCAGCTTTCAACACGCCTTCAACGAGACTGACCGCTGGTAGGCTCTTTTGCTCACAGGTTGCACTGTGCAACATAACATGTTTAGCATCATTTCTTGTCAAGAGTCAGAAACAGGTCTGAATTTAGAGGCTGATTACAAATTGCTCAAGCCCGGCCCTATAATATATGGACCCGAAAGTTGCGTATTGTCCGCTTGATGCGGATTTTGAAACTGCTTCCCTGTCTTGGTGACACCTTCAGACGAGACAAAAAGGCTCCCGCACTTCACGGCACGACATCCAAATCAGCCCTTCCGTGTCAAAGCCGATGCAGCAGATCAGAAGGTTCTGCAGGAATTAAGGGCTTTGGGTTTGCCAGTCAGGGTTCGGGGTTAGGCCTAGGGACCTTAGTTTCAGGGAGTACGCCATGTCGCAGCGAATTGCGCAAGCTGTCAAGACTGCAGCTGGGAGGACCTGACCTTCCATAGAGGAAAAATGGTGATTACGGCTCCTGATAGAAGTAGAAGTATATAATTAGCTTAATGACCCCAACTCTTATTCTGCTAGATCATGAACATGGATGTGAGAAGAGCGTTCTTAGGCGTGGAGCCGACATTGTCGTTGATTTTGTGAAGACACCTGAAGAGGTGTGCGAGCCCTTGCCCTGGGAACCCCTGCGGTTAACACCAGGATTTCGCTGGTGTTTCCGAACAAGGTGGGAGCTGCAGCATCATGCAGCATCGGCGTGCAAGCATGCAGTCCCTTTGGGTACGTGTTTGTGTCTCCGTGTTTATGTCCGTGCTTGAGTGTCTGTGTGTGCGCGCGTGCATCTCTGCGAGTGCCTCTATGATCCAGTCAATATTATCTGCTCGCTGTATGCTGTCTCCAAGTCATTGGCGGTTCCAGCGATGGAGATGGGTAGAACGACAGGGTGCGGGGGGCTCAGGAAAACGTTTTGTGCTTGGGTCCGGATATGTCATAGGCTAACAATCTTGTAAAATATGTTACATGAAATGCATACGTTGTTTTGTCCACTTGGTCTTGTCAGCTGCATCGCAAAGACGAGGAACTTCTGCTTTGGTCAGGTGGAGCTCCGCCAGCAATTTCCGTTCTCGCACAAAACCATTTGCGAGAAAACGAAAGGAGGACGCGGATGATCGCAATGGTGCTGATACCGTATGGGATGATGCTAGTCGCGCCCACGATGTTGCGAACCTGTTGGCGGAAGGTACTCGGGAAAAAAGCACTTTCAGCCTTGGTAACAGGATGAGCATCGCGAAGACGGGGGTCACGATGATTAAGATGGGTCGCTGCCCATACGACGACGACATTGTGGGCGACAAATAAGGCCGATGATGGCTATGCTGATGATGACGATGTTGATGATGCGGGGGACGGTTATGGGAGTAATGATGATGATAATGCAGCTACGGGTGATGATGATGATGATGATGATGATGATTTACGATGGCGACGTGGTACATGGTGCCGATGATGGCGGCCATTACTGTGATGTCTGCGGCCATAACCGCAGCAGGGCATACCAACATGTTGAGGCATTATGATCCTTGTGATGTTTGGGGTTTTCGTTGATGTGGCTGCTGATGATGTAAACGAACATGGCACTGATGAAGAGAATGATGATGCTGATACATGCAAGTATATGAACATGATGTTGATGTTGCTGTTGGTGATGATGTCCGTGCGTTCTTTCTGAATCTGGTGGGGCCGGAATCTGTCGTAGTGGTAGTGGCAGTCGTCGTCGTGGTTGGGGTGGCGAGAAGTACGGAGGCCGACTACAAGCATAGTCGGCCCCCCACCGTAGACGGCATAGTCAGCATTCCTATCGTCGCCATCATGCAACACTTCCAGAAACATGTGCAAGTTCGTCATTTGTTTCACGGTCACCGCCGTCATCCTCATGATTTTGTGATGTTCTTAGCATCTGGTCCACATGTGAGCCACGGACTGCAGGCCCCGATCGAGTTGCATCCCCTTTGGCTGCGACTCAACGACCCGAGTCAGGCACACCGAGGTTTTGAGTACGAAGTATACTCCTTTTCGGAATGACGAATCACCAGGGCAAGACTCGCATGACTTGAGGCTTCAGTCTGTCCGGATTCTCGTGTTTGTCGTTTCGGGTGTCTTACTGCTAAAAAGCAAGGGGTCAAGTGTTGTGGAGTTTGCGGAGGGTTTCTGTGTATTGCGGGGCGGCTGCTTGCAGGGCCTTTGTGCGAGAAGGGTGTAGTCAGTCATGGTGCAAGGGTGGTCTACGACGCTACGATGCATGGAAGATTAAACTGACCAACGCGCATCAACTTGCACATGACGGAATGAAGGGCTGGTGCATGCCCGAGGCATACCAACATTGCTAGGAGACCGTGTGGAGCAGAGGAGTTCGAAGTTTCCACCTGGGCGACGGGTCGTGCTTCTTACCAGGCAACGCGGAACCAACAGCGCCTCTTTGAAATGTCCAGCGTCGTCACTGGAGGTATCAGCCACTCGAAGCAGCAGAGAAGGGGGATATCGGGATATCTGCATTAATCAACAGATGTTTGTTTCCGTGCGTGCGTAGGCCTCTTCAGTTTCTACGCATATTCGCACGCATGTAAATGTACATGTATGGTCAGGTATGTGTACATTGTACATGTCCAGCTCTATAATTCAGATTCAGGTATATAAGGATGTATGTAATAGATGCCGTGTGTATGGGTATCCTTAACAAGGGAGATTGACAGAGAGCAGGAGAGAAAGAGAGAGCGAGGGTTTGTACAGACGTACTGGTACATACCGTTTGCAGAGCTTCCTCGCTGCTGACTCAGCCCGAGAAAAGATCATGTTGGATGGCCGAAGATATACCTATTACATACTGGGTTTGGTGGTACCTGACCTGCCTAGCATAGCTTTCTCATCATCGCAGCAACCCTAGCACCTAGCTACTGTTGACGTTATCTCCGAGGCCCCAGCGTCGACCACTGTACCAGCGCTGAATCTGAGCTGCATGTCTCCTGGAGTGATGGACTTCAGAGCCAATATCCCTGGAGCTGGCTGGAGCAGCAGATGCAGCCGAAATCCGTGGAGAGGTTCTTGTGGACAAGAGGCTTGAGCCAGTTTCTCCCGGAGATTCCGTACGCGTCCCTGAACTCACGAAGCGGCAAGCTACAACTCTGCACTTATCTTCAAAGGTACGGACTGGGTATCATTCGAGGAGTAGATGTCGAGACGGGGATGGTTGCCAAAGTGGGGAACCAGATCGGCAATGTGCGCGTGACCAATTACGGGTCGATCTTCGATGTGCAGGACAAGGGTGCTGAGGCCACAAACCTGGCCTTTACGAGCCAGAGGATCCGTGCACACACGGACAACCCGTACAGAGACCCCTTTCCAGGTGTGCAGATGTTGCACTGCTTAGAGAGTGCTGAAGAAGGTGGAGCCACTATGTTCATCGATGGGTTTCGGGTAGCTGAGGAGCTTCGAATCCAAGATCCTGAGGCTTTTCGCATGCTCACAGCGACCTCGCACCCCTTTGAATATCGGGATCCAGACGAAGGAGTTCTGCTGCGTGCTGCTGCTCCCGTGATCCAGCTCGACCAGGCCAATGCCGTCCAGAGAATCACGTTCAACAACCGCTCGGCGGCGGCTCTCCCTGCATCTTTCCCGAACCTCGAGGAGCATGGAAGCATCCTCAGTTCACCTGAAGCTTAGAACCAGCCAGCTCGTAGAGGGCCTAATTACAATAAGCCAGAAAATGACCCAGTTCGAGTACCGAACCTTCGCTGAAGCCTAGTGCAACCTACGTCATCGTACATCTGCGGACCTTTGTGCCAACGGCTAGGAGTACTACCGGGCATGGGCAGCATTTGACTTCTTGGCCAATTCGGACGACTACGCTGTGAAGCTTTTGATGAGGTGCCGCAGTCTCTGGTGAGGTTCAAAACTACAGTTGACACGGGGATGGCTGCCCCGACTATCTGCCGGACTGCCTTCAGAAGTCATACTGTAGTGCCACGAGTGCTCAAATGTTGAGTAGGGCAATCAATGGCAATCACATGGGAGTTTCCGAAAATTAGGGGTACCTTTGTTTTGGGGCCCTTATAGTAAGGATCCAACTATTTAAGGTACTATACTGGGGTCCCCTGTTTTCGGAAACTCCCAGATCACCCCGCGTTGTCGGTGTTCCTAGGCCCGGGGACATGGCTATTTGGCTGAATGGTCGCGTCATGCACGGCCGCGAGAGCTACCGTGCTGGTGGCCGGCGGCACATTCAGGGTGCATACTTGGATCAGGACTCCCACATGTTCTTCCATGTGATACACGTGCACGAGATGCATCTCGCTTTGAAAATTGTGCGCAAATGTCTTGCATGCCTATGTGCACTGCATGCGTAGGTAGGTAGACAGGTAGGTAGGTCTGTAGGTAGGTGCACTCTCCCCCTCTTTCTCTCTCTAGCTTTAGTAGATTAGATGAGGTTCGATTCGTTTAGACCAACTCGCTAGAGAGCTAGGTATGTAGGCAGGCAGGGAGGTAATCAGTTGGGTAAGGAGGTTGATAGATGGACAAACAGGTCGGTAGATATGGATCGATCGATGCATCGATGCATGGTTGGACGGATGGGCAGATCATTGGATAGGTAGGTTAGCACATAAGTACGTGCGTCCGGCACACGGTACGGTACCGTCTAGGCTCTGCATTGTCTTATGTGAACCTGACAGGTTAGCAGGTAAGAAAGCTTCACTGACGATTCCAAAGTCAATCTTCCGTGTCCAGGATGAGATCCACTCCAGCGTCATGGCGGCCTTGGCTGAAGGTGTCGACGTTAGTTCTTTTGACGTCCACAAGCTCGCAGCGAATGTTTGCATGGAGGTGTTGAGCTCCCTCCCGAGGACAGCCGAAGAGGATCCGTTTCGTGAAGCCTTGAAGCTTGCAACGGCAGCCCGCAGGTCAGGGGCACGATCCGATATTGTTTTGGCCTGTTTGATGCATGCCGCATCGCGGCCAGATGCTTTTGAGATTTGGACCCAGGTCGCTCAGGCCAACTTCAGACAGCTCCGGGATCTTGGAGAGACGACGTCGCCCTTGGCAAGGATGGGCTTTGCCACTGAGGTCGTGGCATTCGCCCAGAAAGTTGAAGACGGTTGGCGATTCGATGGTCTGTCACGAGAGGAGCAAACGAGATACCTGGCCATTCCTGAAGCGGAAATGTTGCTCCAGTGCATCCGTGCATGCCGGGACGGCGGGGCATCTTCGACGCCTGACTCTTTCCATGCTCTTCTCTGCGAGCACTTCCAGCACCAGTCCAAGTGATTTTGGTCGCCCTGGCAAATGCGGCTGGCAAGGCAAAACGAGATCTCGAACAGATCGCACACTGCTCCCGCGCCGAGGTTGAGACATCGTCAGGCGTCATGGCTAGAAGGGTGGGTTTCACGGAGTTCGTTGCTGACCGGCGGGTGGTTGTTTCAGGACTCATGCCTCCAGCCTTCCGATTGAGAGCCTCATTGTCCAGAAGCCGACCATGGAGCAGCAAAAGCCTGCTCTTGTCTGCCATGCCGAATCCACCAATACAGGCGGCCACCCGCAGGGTTCTGAGTTCGCCCTTCACTTCCGGGCCGAAAATGGCTTCAGCAAGCTTCAGCCATCCATACTATATTTGTATTAGTACTATTACTATTATTGTCATCATTAATATTGTTACTACTATTACTATCGCAAAAAATAATGTTACTACAAATGTTACTACTATTATAGCATCCTGAAAATGCCGAGGTCCTTGCAGTGCTTTCCGTCGCCGGTACAGCCGAGATCTAAGCTGGGGGGGGGGGAGTCGACCTTCAGCTAAAGTTGGTGTCCGCAAGCCGGCTTCGTGGCATGTCCTGCTTCTTTCTCTTCCTTTCCCTGTTTTTGGCAAGTTTTTGCGAAGCACATGGAGAAGGCTTGCGAACCGCACACGACAGCCGCAGGCCTGGACATCCTTCGGAGGAGCCCCGAAGGCCTGCAGACCCTGATGTCTCTTCTCTGAGTGGTGAAACCCCTCCTCACCATCTAATTCGATAGGAATCAAAGGAGCTAAAGTTTCAAGGTTCTCCTGTAAACTGCATTGCGGTGATGAAAATTTGGAGGTAAACTGCGGAGGCTCGATTCAACGACGCTTCATAGGTGAGCTGTCGGGCACCCAGCATGGACCCTGCAAGACGACAAGTCCCACATCTGCCTTCTGGAGCCGGGATTGCGGATGTCCTGGAGTGGACTGTTGAGGGCTCTGGAGCTTGCACGGGGCTTCTGCAGATGGGACTTGAGGACATGCTGATCGTGGGCCTAGGGTCTCGGGATTTGACGTTCTAGGATTCTAGGATGGAAGCTATATAATGGTTGTAACCGTCAGTTTCCCATTGGAGGTGGTTCTCGCCCAAGTCAGTGAGCCTCGCAGGTTCGGCGGGGAAAGCGCGGAAGAGACCGTCGATGTGCCCGGCTTAGCCGGTCGCACGTTATGCGAGCAGTTATGGCACAAGTCTCGGTGCGAGATCAATGCATCTTCCTGGCCAAGGAAACAGACTATGGTGACGAGGAGCCGCGGCCTTTGTTGAACGTGCCTTGTGCTTGATCTTGATCTCTTCTTGTTGGCAAGTGTTTGTGCCCGCTGGTGTAGCCTGGTGATCATGTCCTGAATGGCTTCAGTGGGATGCTAGTGGCGTTTGCATGTTTTAAGGTCAGATGAACACATGGCAGCACAAGTCCCTAACAATCAGGCCTGGCCGAGGAGGGCCGTATGCCCCAGAAGGCACACACCGACATGCTGGGCTTGCTTTCCGGAGTTTGGAAGTGCAGCTGCTTCTCACCTTTGAGTCTGCCAGTTTTTGCGCGCCGCTTCTACGTCAATCGAGGAGTGCACGCTCAACTCTGCATTCAGCTGTTCAGCGACACCAGAAAATCCATTGGCTCGTCCAAGCTCGCAGCCTTGAGCAGGCTTCGATCGGCGTCGCATGCAGCTTGAAATCGCTTGGGCCTCGATTTGCACGCTTGATGCCAGATCAAAAAGGGGCAGCAGATCATTCCGGCTTGTGGCTGGTTCCGTTCAGGCTTTGGGACTGCCTATACTTAACGTAAACCTCCAACCTAGAGCAAAGTCCGTGCGAGGCCAAAATCACTTTCGCAGAAATGTATACGTTTGTGGGCACTCTATATAAGTATGAATTGTGTACATGAGAGCCTATTGCTTGAACTGTAGCATTCAGACGGCCGGCACGCGGGTATTGGATTTAGGGGATTTTCAAGCAGTTTTGTTGTTGGCATCCGGGTCCCACAAACCAAACCTTGCACCCGAAAGTGTTGGAACCAATTTCGTAGAAGCCTTGAAGTCAAGGCAAATGGTCAGTATGTCCCAAATATAATGCTTCCCATGCCATTGCAAGCTGACAGGTCGCCTGACCCTGTGCCTGCTGAGAGCGAGTGTGCGAGTCGAAACCCCACTCCTTAGCGCCTTAAAGCCGCACACCAAAAGTCTTAAACCCCTCAACCCGAACCCCAAAAGTATGTAGAATAATAGCCTTCTAAAGGTTTGGGCCATTCTTTTACCTACTTTTCGGGGTCTAGGTATGGACTATGTGGAGCCTTGCCTGCCTCGTGCGGGTGTGAGCATCGAAACTCCAATCCTCCTGTGTGCCTCCCAAGCGATCTCGTTACCCCAGGCTTGTCCCAGTTGTCAGCGCTGAAACCCCAATCCTTATTGCGTCGAAACCGTTCAGGTGAGGTATCCTCATCCTTCCCTCAGGGAGCAGAACGAGGAGATTAAGGTCTTCGACGCTGCCTC